TTATTTATATGATTATTTTATTTTTTCTCAAATGCTTATTATGGTGAAGAAAAGAATATATATGGTAAAAACTTAAGATGATAAAGTCTTTAAAAAAATATGAAAAGTTTGTTAAATTTGTTTGTGGTTGATATTTTATTTGAAGAAATACTTGTAAAACTTCTAATTTTTTATTAAATACTAATTCATAAAAAAGTTGTTGAATGTGTTTGAAGTAATATTTAAAGTCTCTAATTAATTAAAGAAATAATAAACTGAGAAACACAATAAAAAATGTAAGACTTAAACAAAACTATTTGTCTGAATATTTTAATTCTTTTTTTCTTTCTATAAACTCAAAACCTTGTTTCTGCTCATGAAGGATATGCATGCTCTCATGATTATGATGATTTAATTTAAGAAACACAAAAACAACTTAATGAGTACTTTAAATAAAATCCTATTAATTCCTCAGAAGATTAATTAAATAGAAATTTAGGAGGTTTAACTACTTTACCTATCAGGATAACAACAGATTTTACTCGTTTAACTTCACAACCAGGTGGTCCGTCTATCACTACAGATTAAATTAACTATTTGACTTCTGTATCAACTACAGTTGTTAATTTACTTTCTAATTTCATCAAGGTTTAACCAAACACTGTTAATAATGTATTTAACAAAAAACAAACTTCTGACGGTACTTGTATAACAGTAACTCCTTCATTAGATGATTAAACAAATGGTATTCCTAATTCTGATCTACATTTATATTTCATTTTTAGTAGCGAACCAAAAGCAGGATATTTAGCAAATGCAGGCTATTGCAATCTTTAACAAACTTCTACTTATATTAGACCAAATTTCGGTAGAGTCTTATTTAACATCGCTAATATGAAGAATTCTGGTACTAATTTGGAGTAATACTAAAATGATGTTATGGTTACTTTGCATGAAGTCATCCATGTTCTTGGATTCTCTTACGGAGCCATGAAGAACTGGTATAATAAATAAACTAATTAACTTTTGGGATAAACAGCAGCTGATAATTTAATCACCACTCAAAAAATTAGAGGCTTAGATACAAAATTATTAGGATCTCCAAATGTATTAGCGACAGCTTAAAAATATTATGGATGTCCAACATTAAAAGGAATGTAATTAGAAAATCAAGTAATTTAATTAAATCTAAAAAAATGATAAAATCTTTATTCTAAGTTTATCTATTTTTTTATTTATTTTAACTAATAAATTAATTTATTTATTTAGGGTGGCTAAGGCTCTATAAACTCACATTGGGAGAGAACAGTTATAAGAAGTGAAATAATGACTGCTTCTGCTCTTACAGAAGGTTTGAATTTGACTTTTTTCACAATAGCTCTTCTAAAAGATACTGGATATTGGGATGATGTTAATGAAAATTTAACTGATCCTATTTATTGGGGAAGAGGTAAAGGTTGTGATTTCTTTGAAAAGGCTTGTTAAAGTACTACTCAGTATGAAGAATTTGCAACTCCTGATTAATCAGCTTGTTCTTTTTGGGGTGATGGGTAAGGAAAAGGTTCAAGTTCTGATTCTTTTGGTGATACTTGTAATGTTATTAAAATTTACAGTAATCGTTTATGCAGCGATATAGCCAATTAAAACAATTAAAATAATCCTGCTTAGTTTAACGCTGATACTTCGAATGATTTTTCATATAATTCAAAATGTTTTGTTTCTAATATTTATAGTCCTAATTCTTAATATTAATACAAAAATGAAAATTTGAGATGCCATTTTTATTAATGTACTCCTGACAAAACACAATTAACTATTTATTTCTCTTAAATTCCAAATACTTAAGTTGTTTGTAGAATTAGTGATTAAGGTAATTAAATGACAGTGGTCTATTAAGGTAAAACCTTAGGTCAAGTAACTTGTCCATCTAATATAGCAAGATTATGTGATGACTAATAGTGTGTTAATTTTTGTACTTATAATGGAATTTGTATTCGAGGTTAGTGTTTATGCAATCCTGGTTTTGGAGGAGTTGATTGCAGTTAATAGTGTTCAGGTTTTATTTCATAGGAAGGAATATGTGTGGCTTCATGTCCTAATGGTACATTTGGAAACTCTGATAATGTATTATTTTTATATTTTAAAATTTATTTTTATTTTTACTTACTAATTTGAATTACAAAAAAATAATAAAATGACAATTTTTTTAATTTTTATTAGAAATTATTTTAAAAATAAAATAATTTAAAAAATTTATTTTGAAATTTACATATCATTATTTTATATTTTATTTTCGAGCCTATAAAAAATTTAATTAATCTAGAGATCAAACATTTAAAAATATTTTTTTATTAAATCATAATTTTATAAGTCAATCCAATACTAATTTGTTGGTTAAAATTAAAAACTTAACATTTTTATATATTTGATCTTATAATTAATATAAAAACTAATTTTTTGATTTTAATTAATTCTTTACAGTTTATATGAATAGAGTATATAAGTATAACCAAAATATTCAAATTAAATATCATTTTAAATTTAAGTTCCAATTTTCTCTTTTGAAAATCCAAAATCGATTTTCAAATGCAAATTTTTTCAAAAATTAAAATGCAATATTTGAAAAATAAAAACTAACATTGAATTTTTTGTAAATTTAATATTTATTTTTTTTTACAGGTATGTAGATCGACTTGTCCAAATGGATATTATCCAGATTCTGGTACAGGTTTGTGCAAATAATGTGATTTTTCTTGCTCATAGTGCTCAGGTCCAAGCAACAATTAATGTAAAGCATGCCAATTTTTAACATATTTAAGTAATGGTTCATGTGTTACAACTTGTCCAAATGGGTAATTTGCTGATGAAGTATCAAAGACTTGTTTTAAATGTCCAGATGGATGCTCTAGTTGTACTAGTTATAATAATTGCACTGGTTGTAAATCTAACTATATAAAGAGTTTAACATCATGCATTAATTCTTCATGCACTACTCCTTGTGCTACATGTAAATCTGCTACTCCAACTAGTTGTCTATCTTGTGCATAAAATCTTTATCTTTAGCCATCATCAAATAAATGTGATTCTTCTTGTCCACTAGGTTACTATAAAAATTCAATAGATATGACTTGTACTGCTTGTCTAACTGGGTGTAAAAACTGCACTGATGCTAAAACCTGTATTTAATGTGACAGTTCTAATGGTTACAGGCTATACGGTAGCTCGTGTACTATTTGTACAAAGCCTTGCGCCACTTGTTCTTCTATAAATCCTAGTTCTTGTTTATCTTGCGAAAATAGTTTGTACCTCTAAAATAATTAATGTGTTGCAACATGTTCAAAAGGATATTTTAATGGCCCAAATTACACTTGCTCTCCATGCCTTAAAGGATGCGATGAATGTTCTGATGGAAATTCTTGTAAAACTTGCAATTCTTAATATAAACCTTTCACATATAAAAATTAGCAAGTTTGCATGAATTCCTAATCTTGCTTTTCTCCCTGCTCTACTTGTATTGGTTCTTTCTAACCTGCAACATGTGCATCATGTAATCCAAATTTTTATCTATAAGGTACAAGCTGCGTAGCTAAATGTAATTAAGGATATTATGGTAATAAATCAAATTAAACATGTACCTAATGTCCAACAAATTGTTCAAATTGTTCCGATCCCTCAACATGCTTATCTTGTTCAAATAACTATGTAAATAATAATTTTTTGATAATCTATTTACCTAATAAATATATTTTATATTTAAAAAGTTTCTTTCTGAAAAAAGCTGCGTATTAGCATGCCCTAGAGGATAAAATGGAAATAGCAATAAAATTTGTGTTTCAGTAGATGCTAAAACGTTTGCAAACACAAATTATTTTACCATAATACTTATATTTTTA